ATCTTCTCAGGGAGGTCCTTGTTTTCTCTCCATTTTACAGATGAATGTGCAATTATCTTAGGTTGGCCAGACCACCTGGTAAATAAGCAGCAGCTTCTTTAGATACCACAAGCGACCTATTCCTCTAGGTATCCTAAGTATTTTGAATTTTAGCTATTATAGTATTAATTTCCAAGAATCATTTCAAAATTTCCCCGATTGCTCTTATTTTACAACTTGGTGCTGATATTTCATGAATGCATTCATTATCTTGATTTATCTTTTAAAAGATGTCAACCATACCTTTTCTGGTGTTCCCTCACCTTTTCATTCTTTTTTTTCACCTGAGGTCTTTTTTCTGTCTAATTTACGTTGGAGGATTTCCCCATATCTGGTAACCCTTGGCTATCAGTTTATAATTAAGATTAAGCCACTAAAAACATTAGTTGGATATTCTATGTACAGAACTTGCCTTATGAAGTGGCAGATTAAATGATAGAGCGGCCCAGTGCACTCGTTGACATTTTGTTCAGCTGCTTTACAGAGAATCCCACACCCTGCCACCTATGATTGGAAACATGGCTGCAGATCTCACTGAGCACATGGTGTCTGTGATGAGTAATGACTCAGCTGTGCGCCCCCCTGGCCCCTTGCTGCTAGCGACTGTACATCCATAATCTCTCTGGCTTAGTTTCTAAGGAAAGAGACCTCTGTTTCCCAGGGCAGTGTTAGGGAGCGGTAGGCTGGACTTGCTTGGGAAGGGTCAGGGGAACCACAGTGTGTGGAATTCTCCTTAGAAACACTGCTAAATTTTCTCTCGGATGTGCTGCCTAAGCCTCGACTTTAAAAATGTTTGGTGCTTTCAAGTGCCAAGTGTCAAACCAGATGCTTGGGCTCTTCTTGCCTCTGCTCGCTAACTCACTCACTGTATTTTCATTACCTACTTTCTGTCCTGAAATACTGTGTTTGGTTTATAAAGGTATTCTAGTTTCTTACTCTTACCATTTTGGCATGGTTTTCAAGAGATGATAGGCCCCAAAATACCTTTTCTCTCACTACCAAACTAAAAGGTGAATTTAAAAAAAAAAATAGTACAAATAGTATAAAAATGATATAATACCACATCTACCATATAAACAGAAATGCAATAATGTTGTCAAGGATAGAAAAAATTGTTCCACTCCAATATTACTCGAGGTAGAATAAACAGGTATGTCAAATATCTCTATAAAAGGATTTAACAGTATGTACCAAAAGTCCTTGTAGGGATTTATCCCAAGATAAGGAACAAAAACGGCTTCATTAAAAAAAATACAGATTTATAAATAAATATGATAAAAAACATAAGATTTGTAATATCAGCTACTGAGAAACCATTAAAAATTTTATCAATAGGCCAAATATTAATTTAACTGGCACATTATGCTGTCTCTGTATAGTGTCTATATAGCACTAGGGCAGGCCAAATGGCTCAGCGGATTAAAGCGCCTGCAAGCAGGCGCAGGGGCCAGGGTTCAGGCCTGCCGTGCCCGCCCTGCCTCTGAGGGGCACTGAGAGGGTGACTGAGACTGGGTTCAGTGACGCATCTGTAATCTCAGTTCTTGGGAGGCTGTAAACAGAAGAATCACTACGAGTCCGATCTAGTAGTGAGACCCTGAACACCTTGTAGATCCTTCCCTATAATAAAAAAAAAAAAGAATTATATAGCACTACAATAATATTTATGTTAAAAAGGAACTAGAATTCATCTCACAGCAGTGAGATTAGGATGTCTATGCTCTATATGACTTATTGCCTATGGGATATTGATGCAACAGATCAGTAGAGTATGCTGCAATGTCGGAGCTGTGGAGCTGAGAGGTTCCGAGGAGGCTGCCCATTCTGCTGACCCCGCCAGGCTAGTCCCTCTGGCGGAGCCCTCAGAGTCCTCATCGGGAACCTGAAGTACGAGTGGTTTAACTTCTCAGCTTTCCTGCTAAAGAACAGGCACTCTTAAAGAGAAAACAGGTCACAGTAAATCTCTCTCCAAGTTTCTGTGATAAAACTGGAAGAACCTAACATCACCTCCAAAAGCCACTGTCCCCGTTGAGTCCGCTCGCACGTGCTGCCTCAGGGCTTGCTGTTGGTCTTCTGAGGGATGAACACCAAGGTACTTGAGAGCCTGGAAGGAAAAGGACTGGTCAGCATTGATTCTTTTTAATCACCAAAGACCGAAGCTTTTCTTTCTAACACAGTGTGGGGAAGAAAATCAGTGTTAGGAATAGTAACCTCAATGAGACCCATCCCTTTTCTGCTCAAGGAGAATCTACTGACTGCTTATGGACCAAGTGACCGGAAGAGATTCGCTTCATGATTCCACCACCAGCTCAATTTTTTCCCCCTAAGGTCCTTTTATTGAGTGCATAGTTTTAGAACCAGAAGTCAAACTCTTTCTTAGTTGGCGTGGCTTAGCAGAAGAAAAGCAACAAGGAGTCCTCTTAAAGTCAGACTTACAAGGGACACTCTGGAACCTGAATGGTTTTTGGTTATTACCCTACCTTAAAAAGCAAAAGGGAAACTGAGAGGCACTGATTTAAAATTGGGGGTAGGCTCACACAGATGCCATCGCTTAAGCTTTCTCAAGCCTCCGCTTGTCCCTGTCAGGCTCTCCTGTTAGGCAGAAGGTTCCCACTCAGGAATGAAAATTCCTAGACTGCTAGCTGTGTTCCCTTGTTTACTCCCTCTCTGCCAGAGAAGCAACCAGTTTTCAGCTAGAAATGCTGACATTCCAGGAAGCCTATTCTAAAAGCAGGGCTATGTACACCTAATTAACACAAAAGTGTATAGGATATAGTATAGCAAAGCATATATGAAACCTACCGGCTAATGCACAGGTATGTAATTGGGGCACAGTGAAAGAGACAGGAGAAAGAGAATATCGGGAGGCATTCTTTTAGGTTTCTTAAGCTTAGTTTAGCATCATCTACCTGCTCTGTAAAAAATCAGGAGTATTCATCTTGTATAACATGGAATAATAATGCTAACTTTGTTTTCTGGGGATTGTTTTGTTTTGTTTTTGGTACTGGCAAGCAAACTCAGGACCTTGCACTCACCAGGCAGGCACCGCCCCGTTGAGCTACAGCCTCGGCCCATAGCATCATGATTTTGAGCTTCTGTGTGCTTTTTCTCCCATCTAAAAATGGCCCAAATATGAAAACTAGAATAATACATAGAAGGTTCATTTATTTACTATTCTTATAGGCAGGTAAGTTAGATAGAAATGAACATGCAGAGAGGAACTGGGGTCTCAGGAGGTCAGCAGGAAAGAAAAACACCAGAATTTTGGTTGGAGTTACACATGATGAAGGCCGGGTCTACATGCCTTCCCCAAGGGATAAACATCGACCCGAGATAACTGTAAGTAGCACCACCTGGTCCAGGGCATCCAGGTAGGCATGGGCTGTACAGGTAGGCAATTAGAGCATCTGGACCCATCCCTTTTCGAAACTGCCTCTATTCTTTCCACATACTCTTGCTACGTGCCTTGTCTGTCTATTGGATCAATGTTAGCTCAGTATCTACACTTATAACCCTACAAGTTGGCTAAAGTTGGACCCACATTGTAGCTCTGCTATATAAATTACCTCTGACAAAGGCATCCATGACAACCTCTTTTGGGGACCCCACCTGTCTCTCAGGAGCTCTCTCTCAATAAAACTTTCCTACTATTCACCTTCACTATTCTTTGGAAATCATTCTTAGGTATTTGGGGGGCACAAACTTGGCACATTTGATATCTAACAGGTTGAGAGTTATACTTATATTCCACTATCATCAAATACACATTGGTATTTGCTTGAAATTTATATAGAAATTTCAAAAACAATAAAATTGCACATTTAATTGAAAGGTTTCTCTACAACTCTTTCTCTATTACTCAATAAATACTGCTGTCAGGGTGGTGTGTCTTCCTGTCCATAATCTGATGTTATTTATTTTATAAGCACATATGTCCTCAATAATGTGTATTCTAATTCTGTGCATTTAAACTTTTACATGAATAGCATAATCTAAAAGGATAACTCTCTTTTATTTCAACTTTATGACTTAACAACTGCTCAATACTATCTGCAAATCTAGTTCACTTACTTTAATTATAAATGATACCTGGTTATATGGACATAACTTGTTTACTATTTTCTGACTGATGGGCCTTTTTTATAGTTACTCCAATAAGGTTTTCTAAAATTACAAAACATTATACATGACTTCTTTTACAGTTGTATGAAGATTTCTTATTTCTCTATAGTACAGTATAAACTTCAAAAAAGGAGTCACAGGTAATATACATTATGAACTTACTAGACATGGTTGGATTTTTCTTGAAACTGGTTGCACCAATCTATGTATACCAGTAGCATATAAATATTCCTATTTTTTATATTAACAGAATTTGTGGTTTTCTACAGTTCTATTTTTTTTATCAGATGTTGAATGTGAAATAATATTCTGTTAACTTGAAATCCCTGAACTACAAGTGAGACTGAACATCTTTTACATTTATTAGCAGTGCTTTTGACTCATGAGTCACTTAGAAACATGTTCAAAATTTTCACACAGTTTTAAAGATGTATCTTTTGTTACTGATTAAAAATTTGGAGGCAATGTTCTAGTATTTACTACCCAAACTGTTTGTAGATATGGTTAACCATCCCAAGGGAAAAAAAACACCACTCGACTCCTCAAGAATCACTGCTCCAGAGACAAATACTATTAATAGCTTGGTATGTAATATTCCAGATTTTTTCTAGAAATATTTGCCATTATGTAAATGTATATAAGTTACAACAAAAGTTTTAAACTTAACAAAAGTTGTTTCCCTATGGTTCTCTATGTTTAAAAATTAGCAACATACCTGAGATTTATGTACTGTGCAATTTTGGATCTACTGCATGTTTCAAAGTATCAAGAAATCCCAGCTTTTTTTAAATAGATTTTTTTATTTTTTTGAGGTACTAGGGATTGAACTCAGGACCTTGTGCTCACCAGGCAAGCGATTATTCTACTGAGCTATCTCCCCGGCCCCCCAGGTTTCTATTTGCTTTTACAATTACTATAATAAGCTAGCTATTTGGGTACATGCCTATAATACCTGCTATGTAGAATGCTGAACAAAGAAGATTCTAAGTTCGGGGCTGGCCTGAACAATGTAATGAAACCCAAAGCTTTTCTTAAAGGGACTGGGGAAAGTAGCTGGGTGGCAGAGTGGTTGCCTAGCGTTCATGAAACCCCAGGTTTGATCTCTAGTACTGTGCCCCCAAAAGTAAGAATATAATCTTATTTGAACTAAACTTTTTAAAAGTTTCACGGTCACTTAATTTACATACATCCTTCTTTCTGAAGACAAAGAAATATTAGAACAAATAAGCTTTTTTCACATCCCCTTTGGTTTATCACTATTAGATCGTATCCCCTCTGTCCAGTTATACTCCTCCATGACTGTCTGCTCTTTATCCCAAACCTACACCTAAATACACAATCTACTCTTTTTTTTTTTTTTTTTTTAATGTATTTGGTAGAGTTTACAGGGTCTCATTACACAGATATGACTCATAGTGATCCTCCTGTTTTCAGCCTCCCGACCACTGAGATTACAGGTGCCCACCACCATACCCAGTCTCAATCAATGTCTTAGCATGCCCTGGGGGCAGGGCCAGCACAGCACTCCAGGGACTGAATCCCAGTTCCTGTGTCTGCCTAAGCAGGCACTTTAATCCGTTGAGCTATCTGGTTAGCCCGCTATAGACTGTTCTGATTTTGAGTCTTTATTTCAAAGCCCTTGGGCAAGGTAAAGCATATATCAAATAAATTCGTGTGCTTTTCTCTTGCTAATTTATTTTCTGTTAGCGGTCCATGTGCTGTGAACTCCAAGATGAGTGAGAACTCTTTCCTGTCCTACATGGAAAAACACACTTAAATAGTGGCAGGCACAGTGAAGAAGTAAATAATCCATCGTTAAGATAAAAGAAGGATGGTAAGGCAGTGCGAAGTCATGGTTAGTGCTACACATATGCAAAAGAAGGTAACATTTGATTTTGCAATCTACTGTAGTTAGCTGATTCTGGACAA